CGGTACGAAAGGAATTGTTCGGCCATCATGACTTCAATGATTAAAGTGAATACGATAGATACTAGCAGACTTATATTGGATGTAATGATAACCATCATTTATCAAAATCAAATAAATCAATAGAAGTTAATTTATTAGGTAGACACTTAATTTATAAATATTTTCTATAATGTAAGGTTGTACTTCTGTATCCTTCTATATTTACTGTAATTTATGCGCTCATTATTGTTTTAAATTAAAAAAAAAATAGATTAGAATTTGTGAATTGAACAATAAATTAATTAATCATAGCTTTTGGAAGCGATTCCAGAAGATTACTACCTAAAGTAGAAGACAATTCAAATGAATGATATTTTTGAAATTAGGAGATAATTCGAGTAACCTTTTAAAAAAAATAATAATAATAATAATAATATGTATATTAATATCTTATACGAACACTACCTGTGTTATAAAACACTTATCGGAATAAAAAAATAATTTCAGATGGATAGTTTTGTCTGTTTTGAGATGTATCTAATAATAATCAGTATTGCATGCTGCTCAGTGTCCATACAATATTTTGTCTAATTATAATATAAGATAATTTATTGATTCTTGAAAACTTTAAGTTTGGTACATACTTAAATTTTTAGAATCCATCTTTAAATATCCAAATTTTAAACTAAAAATTACAACACAAATCAATTTGCATTAAAAATGTTTAACATACAGCCGTCCATAATTATCAATAACTCAGAATATGTACCTATACAAATAGGTATAGGCCGTTAAATATTATATTGTATTACTCATAGGTAAATGTAATCAAATACATATTTTGAACTAGATAGTTGACATATTATAGGTATATGTCATCTTCATTTAATTTAAATTTTATGTATCTAATATCTATTCACTGAAAATTAAATTTGTCCTGATAAAGAATAAAGAATCTCATTTTCAGAAATAAATTTGTACTAAAATTTAAATTAAACAATTAATATCGATAATTATGTTAGAACATTTTAATAAAACGYTCACTACTTGACATACTTCCACTTAATTTTGTTTACGATAATTTTACCCAAACATTTAATTGACTCAAGTTATTTAAAAGCCATAATTGATATAATTGCGTGAAAA